GAGGGTGAGGAAGATCAGGGAGGTGCTTCATGGTGTCAGGCACCTCCTCAGCCCATCGCCTTCCGCAATCCTGCAGGACAGGCGTGCTCAGCCTCCTCTGAATGAAGAGCGCATGCGCTGCTCCAGCTTGCACGCCCGTCAGAGCATCCAGGTGGACACACACGGTGCCCTTGATTTGCGGGTTCAAGAACTGACGGCCTTCTGAGAACTCCAACAGTGAGTCAGTGACGGATCGGGTCAGAAGTTTGGCCTGTTCACATGCTCAGCGGGAGGCGGCCAGGTGGGCAGCCTGGGGAGCTTTTATTTATTTGTTTATTTATTTATTTATGTTTAAGGTTTTGCCATAGGTCATGTACACTCACTGGAGTGATGCGGAGAGACAGAGAGAGGGAAAGTGAGAAATCACCCCCCAGAGGGGATGACCACACCACAATCCCTTCTCCTCCATTCTCCCCTTAGGATTTTGGGCATGCACACATATGTGCCCAGCATGATTCGCAAGACTCTGGGTCTGGGTGTCAAACCATGGTTGGCCATGTGGGAATCTAGTGCCTTAACCATGACACCACCTGCCGGCTCCATACTTTTTTTTTTTTTGAGAGATTTTCACTGTAGGGCGCGTGCGCTCACCAGACAGACAGAGAGAGACATAGAGACAGAAAGCGAGAAATCACCCCCAGGGGGGATGGTCACGCCACAATCCCTTCTCTTCCATTCTCCTCTCGGGATCTTGGGCACGCACGCACACGCGCCCGGCGTGAGTTTTAAGCCACCGGGTCCAGGACATGAACCGCGGTCGACTACGTGGGAGTCCAGCGACATAGCCATTACGCTAACTGCTGGTTCCCCAGGCTCCATACTTTTTAAGTGGACCCTCATGACCTAAGGACCTTCCAAGGGTCCCATCTCCCAGTGCTAGCACATGGGAGGTTAGGTTTCAATGTAAATTTTAAGGGAATATAAACCTTCAGACCACAGCACCATCCAAGTCAGAAAGGACACTCACCAGCAACCCAGACCCTCCACCTTCCCAATGGCTGCCTCTTCCCTTCTTGCTTTGCTTTCCTTTCTTACTGCCACTGGCCACCTGTACTCACAAGAGGAGAGCGAGAATGCCCTAGCTGGCTGTAGTCATACCACAGTCCCTTTTCCTCCATTTCTCCATCCCAGAAGGACTATGGGCATGCACATGCACCCAGTGTCTTTTCTCAAGCCTCTGGGGCTAGGACTCGAACCACAGTCCACTGTGGGGGCTCTCACTTTCTACGCACAGCACTTAATCATTGTACTGCAGGGCTGGCTGCCTTCTGACTTTTTCTTTATAGTTTTGCCTAAGCATGCACCCTCTCCTAAATGCCACTGTGAACATGATACCCACAGGGTCACGCATCGGCCTTCCCCTGTATCCGCTGCTTTTGCTTGACACGTTCTCAGCAGTCACCCTCCGACGTCTTGACAGCTGCGTGCAGTGAGGCATCACAGTGTGACCTGTCATTCTCCTGTCAGCGAACGTGTGGACTGTTGCCTGTTTCCGTGTGTGTGACTAGTGCTGCTGGGAGCCTTGGGGTCCATATTTCTTGGTGCACTTATGTACACATTTCTGCAGGGTAGGGGACTGTGACAGTTTCCTAGGGCTTCCTGAATGAGGTACCTCAAGCAGAATGACTTGAAACCACAGACCTGTTTTGGTCTCACAGTTCTGGAAGGTAGAGACCGGAAATCAAGGTGTTGGCCAGGCTGTCTCTCCCTGAGACTCCAGGTAGTCTTCTTGTCTTTCTCTAGCTGCTGAGGGAAGGTGGGAATGCCAGTCCATGACTGGCAGCTCTGGGACTCTGTTCTGCACCTCCATCTTCATGTGACAGTCTTCTCTGGTATCTTCATGTGGTCATCTTACAAGGACACCGGTCATAACTGGGTTAAGGGCCAGTCCTGTTCTGGTATGACCTCATCTTTTCTTAAAAGAGATTTTTGCTCTAGGGCACATGTGCTTGCCAGAGAAAGAGAGAGACAGAAAGCGAGAAATCGCTCCCCAGGGGGCATGGCCATACCTCAATCCCTTCTCCTCCATCCTCCTTTTGGAATTTTGGGAGGACACACACGTGCCCAACCTGAGTTTCAAGCTACCAAGTCCAGGACTCAAACCATAGTCGACCATGTGGGAGTCCAGTGTCCTAACCACTGTGTCACCTCCTGGCCCTTCCCTCATCTTGATGAATCTCATCTGTGTTACGGTTTGAATATGTCCCCTGGAATTTTACATGTGAATCTTTGGTAAGCCATTGTAATGGTGTTGAAGGGTGAGACTTCATTTGATTAGGAGGTGGGGCCTTTGGGAGGTAATTAGGCATCAGGGTGGGGCCCCTGAGGGGATATTCGTGCATGTGTAAGGAGACGAAATGGACACAGCAATGCCGATCCCGGTGCTGTGCACCAACAATAAGGCCTTGGTCAGATGCTGCCTCTGGGCCTTGGACCTGTATGGAGCCTGGGAGAGGAGAGTCCAACCTCCAGCTTCGTAGAAGGAACCACAGGCCCCCCAGTCATGTAGCCTTTGCCACATTTCCTTCCCCTAAAATCAGTCTTTAGAGGACCTGGATTGGGCCCAGCAGATGGTGTGGTGGTTAAGGTGCTGGACTACCACATGGTCAACTGTGGTTCAAGTCCTGGACCTGACACTTTGAAAATCATACGTGCATGTACGAAATCCCAGAAGGGATTGCAGCATGGCCATCTCCCGGGGTGATTTCTCACTTTCCCTCTCAGTATCTCCTCTGGAGAGTACACGCGCCCTACAGCAAAACCTTAAGAACAACAATTAAAAAAAGAAAAAAAAAGAGGACCTTGGATTATGTACAATTCACGTTTTTTAAGCCACTGGGGCCTGGATTTGAACTGCCTCGTTGGCCAAGTGGGGTCCAGCATCCTTAACTGCTAGGCCAAGGGGTTGGCCCTTCCTTGTATATATATTCAAGACATGTTTATTGTAGCTTTTGAGAAACCCTTAGGCAGGGTACCCAGCCAAGACATGCCAAGACAGGCCCTCCCTGATAAAGTGTTTCTTACTTTGGGAGTAATCTGTCACACCGCAGTACAGAAGGAATGTGTACAGCAGGTGGCGTGGTGGTTAAGGTGCTGGACACTCCCACATGGCTAACCAGGGTTTGAGTCCTGAATCTGGTAGCTTGCTTTCTTGCTTCCTCTCTCTCACTTTCAACCTCTGTCTCTCTCTGGTCAAATTAAGAAAAAAAAAAAAAAGAAAAAAATAAAGAATAAATAAAATAATTATTTTTTAAAAAAAGGAATGTATAATCTTCCCCTCAAAGTTCAACTTTCGCTGGTGGTGGCAGAAAGGGCGTGGGTTTTAGAATCAGATGAACTGAGAATTCTGTCTTTACTACGGAACTACGTAAGTTATTTAACATTACCCAGCCTCAGTTAGTTTTCTCACCTGTGGAGATATTTACCTTCGAGAGGTGCTGGGAAAAGTGAGGTTTTAAATATCTGCATACATGGTTCCCCTTCCTTTCTTCTCTTTATGTCATCTAACTTGGCCAGCAGGTGGCATGATGGTTGGGATGCTGGACTCCCACATGGCACTATGGAACAAGGGCCTTCAGATCGGGGCGGCCCTCTGAGGCAGGTCTGGAGGCGGAAGCTGAGGCTGAGACACCACCTCACTCCCCTCTAGCACTTAGGTTCCTTGGTCAGCCCCGTTCTCTAAGCCACCTCCCTTTTCTTGCCACTTGCAGGGTGGGAGTAAAAATAACTCTCTAGGATTACTTTGCAGATTATTTTAGAGTATTTCAGAAAGCATTTGGCAATCAGTGGGTGCTCAATGCATTAAAAAACCAAAACCTAAAAACCAAAAAAACCCCAGAACTTCAACTTTCTCATGTAACAGTGTCAACTCGGGGGGGCTCGCTGGCCACCCTGAGCGTGGTGTGGGGACCAGAGCATTGGCAGAGCCTACCAGCTTGGTAGACACTGAGCATCTTTAAAAAAATAATAATAATAATTAAATTTTATTTATCATTATTTAATTTGCTACAGGTATATGTATTCACTGGAGAGAGATGGACAGAGAGAGGAAATGAGTAAGCTGCCAGGTCTGGGACTTGAACCACGGTCAGCCATGTGGGAGTCCAGCACCTTAATCAGCATGCCACCTCACCTACTGGCCCCAAAACTGAGAATCTTGAGCATCACCTACATATACTCAGCTAGCTCCTGCATTTCCCACAAGATCCCTGGTGATTTTTTCGTAAAGTTTGAGATGATGTGAAATTCTGCATTTTTTTTTTTTTAAATAGGAGTGACCGCACATGCATGCAGGGGGAAAAGAGGTACTTTTGACAGTGCCCATGTCCCAGTTAGCTAGGATCACACGTACGTGTTGTTGTGTCCAGACCATTTCTGGGCTGGACAGGGAATCAAACCCTGAGCTCCCACGTGACCTCAGGCATCATGCAGTGGTGCCCTCCTGCCTGTCCACTAAGGCTGGGCCTGAAGTTCTGCATTTCTTTTTCTTTTTTTTTTAAGTGATTTTTGCCATATGCTGTATGCACTCGCCAGAGACAGAGACAGGGAGAGGGAAAGTGAGAGATCACCCCCCAGGGGGGATGGCCATGCCACAATCCCTTCTCCTTCATTCTCCTCCTGGGATCTTGAGCACCCACGCATGCACACATGCTTGGTATGATTTTCAAGGTTCGGCCCCTGGTCACAGGTCTGAGACTCGAACTGTGGTCAGCCATGTGGGAGTCTGGCGACATAGCAACTCTGCCATCTGCTGGCCCCCAAATGCTGCATTTCTAACAAGTTCCACATGCGTAGTGGTAACTTAGATGAAGAACTGAGAGGAGGTGGGATGTGGATGACAAAGTGGGAACAATGCAGGTTCCTTGAGTCTGCTGCACCCAGGCGAGGGCCCCCTCCTGGCCTGAGCTTGAAACCCGATGAGGACCTGCTCCAGCACAGACAAGCCAAACCACGCATCTGAATAAATAAGCATCAGTTTTATTGAATCATGAATAATTTAAGACTGGTACAATCATCAGCTTTATTCTCCATGACGTGGGGCGTGATCTTCAGCAGATCATTGGCAAATCCGAAAACCTCATGACGGGTGAAAATTAAATAGGGAGGGCGGGCAGGGGATGGGCGTGGAAACATACAGTACACAAAATACTCAGTTCCTAGTTTTCTCTTTAAAAATGGCTAGAAAAAATTCATCAAAATGCAGCACTTTAATCCGTTATTTACAATTTCTATGTTACAATGAAAAAAAATGTACATCTTATAGAACATATTTCATAAACCGCTCCGTTGGCAACAGCTAGATCAAAACAGCAAACCTTCCACTGAATATCTGCAACGTTGGATTTGTTTTCTTTTGAAGTAGATTCGCCACAAATTCGAATACACAGAAATTTGAAGTTGAAGCATCCAACAACAAAATAAAAAAATGTCCCCAAGATACCATAAAGGTCTAGGCAAATGTTGTTCCTGGTTCCACCCCCACCCCACCCCACCCCTTAAATTAAAAGGTATTCCCATCTCATTTATGGCCTGCATAACTCTTGGCAGTTTGGGAAGGAAACATTTGGCTTCCATTGGTAACTCAACAGAAATGTTGCATAGAATTTTATACATTTCAAAATTAGCCTAACTGTAGAAAAAGGCAAAATGGAAGCATTTCAGACAGAGCCCTAAATGAGTCCAAAGTCACTTTGTCAAAGGTGAGTGACACTAATGGAAAAGTATGACCGAAACAAAAGATGGACGCGTTAGACAACCCTGCTTCCCGAAGCACGAGGAAGGACTGAGTGTGACTCACACAGGGCTCCTCGCCTCGAAATCCCGTCTGCCCATCAGGCAGCTCTAGGCACAGAGGTCTCCTTGTCAGCCTGGACCCAGCGGGAGGGACGGCTGCAGGAGAGGGGAGACAGGAAGCGAAGAGAGGGTGTTGGACAAAAGGGAAAAAAAATCTATTATCAAACCAAGTTGGCTGGTGTCTACTCACAGGTGACTGGGAAAACTGCCCGCGAGGAGAAGACCGTTTCGCCTCCTCCAAATTCACAGTACGAGAGTGTAAGGTCATTGCTGGAGGTACAGGTCTGAGGAGGGCCACCCTTCGGGTTTACCAGAAGGCTCAGGGTTCGGCCCCTGGTCACAGACTAACTACATGGTTTCAAAGTTTGCTAAAAACATAAATGGAACAAGATGCACTCGCACCCAGAGGGCCAGTCAAGGCTAAGCAGAAGACTCTGAGACTAATGAGATTCAAGGAGGACCGTGTCACTAGTTAGTGGGACACAGTCCCGTTTTCCTTTCAAAGGGAAGAAAATGGTATCGAATAATGTGAAGTGAGCCATCCGGTCACGCTCTACCGATGAGAAAATGAGAAACACATGCAGAGATGAACCTTCAGAAACAGAAATGCAAAAGGTGGAATAAAAACCCTGATTATTAACAGAGACACCCTCAGTGGGGTCCGATAAAGATTCTCTTTATAAAACAAAAACAACTCCGAGATTTACCACGCTCTGTACAGAAAACCCCAGCAAGGCAGAGACTCGGCAGACTGGGTTTCTGGGAGGGCACGTGTTCACACTGTCATGTAGCTTTGTAGGAAATTTTGCCTTTTCCTGCGTGAGACAGATCACTGTCCAGTCAGGTTGTCAGCTGGAGACTGGTAAGAACTTAAAAAGTGGATCCTTTTTTTTTCTTTTTTTTTTTTCTCTTTTTGCACAGTCACACATCCATACGAATGAGTCTTTCGGATGAGAAAAGTCACAGCGACTTGAGTTCTAATGAGCAGATGACTTGTTAGCCCTGTTTGCTTCGATGGGGAAACGAACGCACGAACACTCCAGGCAGGCACGACAGTCGGGTAACTGCACGCGGTCGGTCTGAAAGCAGTAAGGCATCACTTTGGGAAGGTCAGCACCGAAGAGGTCAGGCGGGGCTCGTCCGGACGGAGGCTGGGGCCGGGTCAGGCTGCGGGGAGGGAGCGGCCGCCCACCCTTGCTGGGCTGCATCGTGTTGGCTCTGAAGCTAGTGCAAGTCTGCTACGAGGGGACCCCACCGCCCCCACCCCCCTGAAGTTGGGGCTGGGACCTTGAGGTGTCGACGTGTTTTCTGAAGCCTCGAGGACAAAGAGGCAAGGTGAGGACCGGGTCCCCCACCCATCCTGGGGGACATAAATACCTGCAACCCTCGCGGTGGGAGGTTGAGGGCATCAAACCGTGAGGACGGGCAACTGAAAACCAAAACTGAGCAAGACCAAACCAAAACGCAACTCCTACGGCTCTTCCTTTCACCAAAGGACTGATTCTGACCCAGCGGGGAGGGAGACGCGCGTTCGAGATCAACGCGAGTCCGAAAGGGAGAAAAGCAACCGGGGTTATCGGTTCTCACTCGACACAGTGTTTGCAGGAAGAAACCTGATTCGTCTACACACAGGAAGGACAGACACGTGCGGTCCTGCACGCAGAGCCACTCGCTCCCTCCCTCACACCCTCTCGTGGCGGGCCGGAGGCTGAGGACGGACCTGAAGGGGTAGTTGAACTCGAACAGGCAAAGCACCTCTCGGGGGAGGAGAGCACCATGACAGAAACGCAAACCCCAAGGGCAGGATATATTTTCTTCTAAGGCTTTCCTTGTCGTAGCTCTGCAGCGTGGAGCGGGACCAGAGGGAGGCCCCATCAGCACCAGATCTCTCCGTGGCTGGGCGGCAGGGTGGTGGGCAGCGAGGCCCAGCCCGGGGGCTGTGGGCTGGGGGAGCCGCGCCGTCTATGTGTCCGACATGGCTCCCGTCTCCCGTCTCTCATCTCTGGGCAGCTCATGGCAGGATGCTGTTTGGTTTCAGAGCTTCGGATGAGTTTCTTTCTTTCTCTTTCCATTTCAACGGTGATAATCCTTTCCCGAGAAGCATCTTCAGTGTCTTAGGGAGGTCACAGCAACAAGGCAAAACAAGAAGTCGAGTCACGCAGAAGGTGTGCGGTTCTTACCAGGGGCTGACCCTGGAGGCCGGCACCGGGTCGCGGCCGGAGGAGGGCTCTGGGTACACCTGCCGCTCTGAGGGCTGCGGCCAGGGGCTGGCTCAGGAAATCGTCTTTGAGAGGATGCTGAGGGTGCAGGCGGGAGGGGGCAGAGAGGGTGGGCAGGCTGCCCGGCCAGGCCTCGTCACAGAGTGGACTCCAAGGACGAGTCCAGGATGTCGTCGTGGTGGCTGTTGCTGTTGGAGAGGCTGTCGTAGCTCTGCGGGCTGGAGTAGTTGGCCGCCTCCTGCAGCCTCATCAGCATGTTCATCTGCGAACAGAGACACGTCAGCGCTTTCCTGTCCATTCGGCCACCCTCCTTGACCTCCGGAAGCTTGTGCCTCCTCTGGACTCACCCTGGGATCATGGCCCACATGCAGGCAGTGGACAAGAGTGTGGACTCTACGCTGGACTTCCGGGGTTCAAGTCCCGGCTCTAGCACTTGCCAGCTGCATGACCCAGACAAGTTACTTAACCTCTCCATGCCTGTTTTCTTATTGGTCAAGGGTAAGTAATAACAGTGTCTCCTGCAGAGCGTTACGGTGAGTGTGGACTGAGTTAATACACACAGAGCACTAAGAGCAAAACAGAAAGTCCTCTATAAATGTATTCGTGTTTTTGTTTGTGTGGGCACATCTGTCAGCCTGGGTAAAGAGGCAAGTCCAAGACCCGGAGCCTGGAGTGATGCCATGTGCCCAGCACTGCTGACACCTGATGCACACGGCTTCTCTCCTGAGGACAGTCAAGCCCACCTGTGCTTCTCGCTCTGGCAGAGGTCAGTCTGGAACCAACAGGCTGGCCCCTCAGGGCCTTCGCAGCACAGGAGGGAGAGCATCAGAGACCAGCAGAGCCTCCGAAGGCAGAGGCTGGGACTATGAATCAGAAATCTTGATGTGAATTTACCTAAAGTATTCGAGCTACCAGCCCTCACCTAGGAGTGGGAAGAAGGGCAGCGCCTACCTCAGAAGGGAAAGGTCGGGCATGAAGTGGTGGTGTACAGTGAGTCCTCAGAAGGGGTTGGCCTGGCACATAGTCAGTGCTTAATGACTGATCTGAGGCATCATCTTCTAACTGGAAGAGCAGGTTAGGAGGCAGAATCTTAAATCTTCCCTGGTTTACACACTATTGGCCATTTGTTTGGCAGTAAAGGGGGGATTAAAAGCTACTTTTACTCACTATAAATTGTGTGTGTGTACTTTAGCACAAGGTTGGGCGGCTCGGGGCTCAGCCAGTATGGCAGCGCTGAGCATGAAGTCTAGCCGCTTCCTGGCCAGCTGTCTGCGTCTCAGAAAACTTTGCAGCTTCCCCCTGGGTGAGCCAGGCCAGGTGCACCATCCACCTTCATAACTATACTATATATACTATAGTATATACTATACTATAACTTGGGGGACCTGGGGTTGAAAAGAGAATTCTAGGTAAATGTTCCCAGGAACCCAGGTCTTACCTAAGTGCCTTTTGTGTTCATTCAATCAGTGATACAAATACTCCTGGTCTCCAAGACTACTGGGGGATGGGTCAGCCACTCTGTCCTCTGGATTAGCCTTAATTCTATTTTTACGAACACTAAGACCTCATGATATTGCCCCTCCCCTCAAAGCACACCCAAGCCCTTGGCTTTAAGCAGTGACTTGCCTTAGGAACAGCTACGGAAAACCGAGAACTCACCAGCGGATCTCCTTCAGCATCACTGGGGGGCACCTGCTTGCTCGCTGCCCCCTCCCGAGGCATGGAGTAGCCGTCGAAGCCGACGTCCTCAGGCCGCAGCTGCAATAGGGGAGGCCACTCGTGCTGCTGTGGGCTGGCTGCCCATGGGTAGGTGTCCATCACCCACTTGGCAGGGTCCTCCCAGGGGGCACGCCTTCCATACAGCTGAAAACAGGCGAAGAAGGAAGAGTCTGCAAGTGGCCGAGCAGCTTTCTAAGAAGCTCCCAAACCCAGCATTCTGCCTCCCCGATGGAATGGTTCCACTTACAGGATTCATCCTAAGGAAGTCACCTGACATGCGGACAGCTCCAGGGTGTAAGTACCACACCCAGGGGCTGGGAGGGTGCACAGGTTTGAGAGTCAGACTGACCTGGGCTCACATCTCAGCTCTGCTGCTGACTTATTGGGCAACCCTATGCTCTGAGCCTTGGTGATCCAATGTGAAAAACTGGCCCCACAGCGGGCAGGCAGCACCACAATCACCTGATTGAAGCATTTGCCAATTTCCGTGGTGTAAAATAAATACTCCTACAACTGATTTCCAGCTACCAGCAAGTTGTCACGGATGCAGGGTTAGAAAGAGGTGCATCAGTTTTCACCGGGCAGTGTTACTACCCCGTGAAGTGCACCCCACCCAGAGTACCTCCCACATAAACTGGGTGCTGGGCATCTGCACTGCGGGTGGAGGTCGGAGCAGCCCTGGTTCAGGGGAGGCCCATTTTTGAAGTGGATCTGACCCTCAGAGCTGCTCTAGGGAAGCACTGGTCACTTTCAAAAGTGCAAATTGCTAAGAGGAGGCTGAATGTGGGTACTGAAATTGTGAGTGCTTTATCCATCATGCGTTCCTCAAAACTGTCCATCATAACTTATTAGCTCGTAAAATACTAAGCTATTTTATCACCTCATTTGTAGAGACAGATTCCATGTTCCGAGCTCCTACGTTTAAGCTTTAAGAGGATGGACGCTGGCCGAGGTACATGTTGTACGCTGTGTGTCTAGGCGTAGCCTGTGTGTCCTTTCTCTTCACCCTGACACCACACCTCACAGTTCACAGATACCTTGTGAAACCACCACCGAGTCCTCAAGGCAGTGTTACTGCCCATGCTCTACAGCTGAGGAGACAGGCCCAGGGAGGAGCCAGGGTCAGAGAGGGAGGGCAGTGCTGAGCCCTGCACTGACAAAACATCGTCTGAGTTGTGGCCTGCTTCAGCCAGAAGGGGCTTCAACCATGAGGGAGCCAGCAGGTGGCGCCCTCCTCACCTGGAGTCCTTCTCTGACGGCTTCCAGGAGATAGGGGATGATGGAGTAGTTCCACAAGTCGGTGAACCATACTCTTGAGCCATCCACGTCGATGGGGCACGACAGGAAGAGCCGGGGGCCTGGGAACCACAACAGAAATACATCAGAGCTGAAATGGGGCTGGAGGGGCAGTCAGGAGAAGCATGATCACCCCTCACCAGAGGGACCCTGGACTTTCTGAGCAATGACAGGTCTGATGACAGAAATGCCAGCTGTCAGAAGGTGGGCACAGAGCAAGACACCCCATAATTTCACTCCTAGGGTCGCTCTCCTTGAGGAAATTGTCCAAAGGAGAAGAAAGGTTTTCTGGAGATGTTCACTGTGTCCACAGTGAAAAATAAATAACTATTTAAAAATTTTTATTTATTTAATTTATCATAATCATCTTTATTTTTTAATTTGCTACAGAGCATGTGTGCTCATGAGAGAGAGAAATATGAGAAAGCAAGCTACCAGGTCCGGGACTTGAACTGTGGTTGGCCATATGGAAGTCCAGCACCTTAACCACCAAGCCAACTGCTGGCCCAAGACACCAAGACACAAGCACTCCACCTGCACATCCAAGAACAGAAATGGTATTGCAAACGAGGGTACACCAGCATTTGATTATGTGTCGTCTTCAAAAATAATTTCAAGGGACCAGCAGACAGCGTAATGGTTACGTCCCTGGATTCCTACATAGTCAGCTGCAGTTTGAATCCCGGGCCCGGCAGCCTAACACTCACACCAGGTGCGGGGGCATGTGCGCCTAAAATCCCAAGAGGAGAATGGAGAAAGGACTGTGGCATGGCCATGCCCGCGGGAGGCGATTTCTCACTTTCTGTCTCTCTGGTGAGCAAAGCGCCCTATAGCACCCTAGAGCAAGAAGTCTCTCTTAAAAGAAAAAATAATAATATTAATCATTTCAAGACCTGAGTAGCAACATGGAATGCTCATGAGCCAACATGAAGCGAAAGCAGAGGAACACGCTGTCTGGACACCATCGTCTGAGTTGTGGCCTGCTTCAGCCAGAAGGGGCTTCAACCATGAGGGAGCCAGCAGGTGGCGCCCTCCTCACCTGGAGTCCTTCTCTGACGGCTTCCAGGAGATAGGGGATGATGGAGTAGTTCCACAAGTCGGTGAACCATACTCTCGAGCCATCCACGTCGATGGGGCACGACAGGAAGAGCCGGGGGCCTGGGAACCACAACAGAAATACATCAGAGCTGAAATGGGGCTGGAGGGGCAGTCAGGAGAAGCATGATCACCCCTCACCAGAGGGACCCTGGACTTTCTGAGCAATGACAGGTCTGATGACAGAAATGCCAGCTGTCAGAAGGTGGGCACAGAGCAAGACACCCCATAATTTCACTCCTAGGGTCGCTCTCCTTGAGGAAATTGTCCAAAGGAGAAGAAAGGTTTTCTGGAGATGTTCACTGTGTCCACAGTGAAAAATAAATAACTATTTAAAAAATTTTATTTATTTAATTTATCATAATCATCTTTATTTTTTAATTTGCTACAGAGCATGTGTGCTCATGAGAGAGAGAAATATGAGAAAGCAAGCTACCAGGTCCGGGACTTGAACTGTGGTTGGCCATATGGAAGTCCAGCACCTTAACCACCAAGCCAACTGCTGGCCCAAGACACCAAGACACAAGCACTCCACCTGCACATCCAAGAACAGAAATGGTATTGCAAACGAGGGTACACCAGCATTTGATTATGTGTCGTCTTCAAAAATAATTTCAAGGGACCAGCAGACAGCGTAATGGTTACGTCCCTGGATTCCTACATAGTCAGCTGCAGTTTGAATCCCGGGCCCGGCAGCCTAACACTCACACCAGGTGCGGGGGCATGTGCGCCTAAAATCCCAAGAGGAGAATGGAGAAAGGACTGTGGCATGGCCATGCCCGCGGGAGGCGATTTCTCACTTTCTGTCTCTCTGGTGAGCAAAGCGCCCTATAGCACCCTAGAGCAAGAAGTCTCTCTTAAAAGAAAAAATAATAATATTAATCATTTCAAGACCTGAGTAGCAACATGGAATGCTCATGAGCCAACATGAAGCGAAAGCAGAGGAACACGCTGTCTGGACACTCTGAATGCAGTCATGCTGAGCACGTGGGAGTGGACAGGACGTAAGAAAGCTCCAATTAAAGTGGCGCCAAGACGGCGGGGAGACTGGTGACCTCATGGCGATGTCCTAAACCCCTGCCCTGAGAACTGCTAACAGCGTCTATAAAGCACGGCCACTCCCAAAGCTGAGTTTCAGCTTGGGGAACTGCGGCACGGGGGTGCGGCACAGAGCCAGCAGATTCTGAATCGGCCAGGGCTGCTCACACCTCTCCTCTGCTGAGTGCTGCAGCCGGGGGTCTGTCTCGGACTCCCCTCTCCCGCATGGACAGTCTGTCTGCAGGGCTGTGCTGGCCAGGGCCCCCAGGACCGCTCCCCGAGGAAGCTGGAGCTGCGGGAGCACCACCTCCCCCGCAGCCGGCTCGCCTGCCTAGTCTCCCGCCTACCGATGGTGACGTCCGAGGAGCTGTGGGCCTCCAGGAAGCGGTTGAGGTGATGCCAGACCTTGGGAATCCAGTCGATGATCTTCACCAGCTCCACGTTCCGCACCCGCCCACTGATCTCCGTCTCCATGAGCTTCCTCCTCAGGAACCGGCCGAGGAAGCCCTTCACAGGCTCCGTGTGGTTGGCACAGAGCACCCACCTGGAGGGGCATCAGATGATGACGGTGAGGAACACACTGGCCAAGCTCAAGAACCAAAGCGTGTTAGAACAGGGCGGTGCATGTGCTCAGAGTCAGATCGGACCCACTCTGCACCCGGCACAGCTCCCAATGCTGTACTCGTGGACTCGCTCCCAATTCCTTGTCATGACCCTCAGGGGTGGAAAGTACCATACCTCCACCCACAGAGAGGGATTCGAAGGTGCACACAGGTGACATAACCAGCATCATCACACTACAATACCCTATCAGCACCCGAAACTTGCAGCTGGCCAAGATCATGGGCATGTGCCTGGAACGTTTTGGGTCAGTCCAAGCTCTGAGCCCGGGGCTTCTTGCAACGCAGAGCAGTAGCCACTGCGGCGGGCTTAGACCCACGCTCAGTAGGTCTCTGTCCCAGCTGTGCACAGTGACCTAGGAGATGCGCCAGTGGCCTTAGCCCAGAAGACGGTTTCTCACCCTCATCTAAGGGCCCAGGGCAAGCGCCGTACATGCAGCTGGACAGAGCTGAGCGGTCTTCCCACCCTGCTGTGGTGCTGGCAGCGGGAGCGGAAGCACAGCACCGATGCACAGCAGCTGGAACTCACAGACCCAGCCATGGGGGACACTCGGAAGAGCTGTCACTACTTCACTCGGGACAGACGCACCCCTGGTAATGTGCAGAGCAGGGAGGGTGCCCAGCCCCTGCTGCCCTGATGCTGCTATGGCAGGACTCGAGGGTCAGACAATCCGGGGTTCTAGATTCAGCTCAGCTCTGGACCTCACATGAGTCACTAAATTCTACAGCCTCTGTTTCCTCAGTTATAAACGGAGAATGATTAATTGAACTACTTGAAGCTGAGCTAAGCTGGAAAAAGGCTTAACACAATGCCCGGCACATAATGGACCCTCAAAAAAGCTTTCCTGCCGCCCTCCCTCCTCCCTTCCTCCCTCCCTCCCTCCCTCCACTCCCTCCCAGTGATCCATCCCTTACGCGGACAGGTAGATGTCCCACCTGAAGTTGTGGTGGAGCTGCAGGTTGGGGGAGGAAGAGGTAGCCTGGTTCATTGTGCCAATTATGTACGGGCTGGGGGAGACAAAGGGGAGGAAGGTGGTGAGTCAGAGCCAAGCTAGAGAACACGGTGTCCCCAGAGGCCTGTGGCGTCCATGCATCTAGGCAGATGGAGGGCTTGCTGCCTCCCTCCCGCCCCACGCGTGTGCACTGCTTCCCTCCACACTGGCCGGGAGCAGCGCCCCCTCAGAGCCGGTGCTCGCTCTCCCGGGGCCATGGGGCAGAAGCGGCCTTTACCATTTATGGTACTTGCAGTTGAGCAGCCCATTGAAGATCTCGCCCAGAGAGCTGACGTGGTGCAGGTTGTCCAGGATGATGACCAGGGGCATGTCCACGGCGTTGTTCTCACTGTTGCACTGGTCAGCCAGGTTGGACAGGTACTGGCGCAACTCCTGTGGAGGCCAGGAAGGCCGGGGAGGAGCGGTCAGTGAAGGCACCCCAGGGAAGACAATGCGCTCCAAGCTTCCACCTCGCCTGGGTGCCTGGGGCAATGTGGGTGGGAAGACCCTCAAGGTCTTGCTGCAAACAGTGAGTGCCTGCCCCAGGGCATCACCGGTGCTCAGGGGATATGGGTGGGTGTGGCATGAGCAGGCCTGGGCCCTGCCTCCTGACATTCACTAGATCACTGAAAACCTTGAGCCCAGTGCCGGATTTCCACCCCTGCTCTAGCCCTGCCCTAGAAACGCTGTCACTCTTCCTCACGGCCAACCTCCTCATCAGGCCAACCTGCCGGAGGCTCCTGAAGGCAGGCGCTGTGTGGTCTTCGTACCTCCATGGCACCCGAGAGCCCCCTATACAGCAGCTCTCAGTAAGTCAAGCACACAGACACGGACGCATATGGGCACACGATGCTGGCTCGGGTGTGGCAGACAAGGGAACAGTGCAGGGCAGGGAGAGGACACTGGGGGCCTGGGGAAGCCCTGTGGAAGTGCAGGCTTTGATGAAACTTTGGAGAACAGGCAGGGTATTGGCTCAGCTGGGGCTAGAAGACAGCCCAGCGAACACAGGGGAAAGGACACGTGTCAGAGAAGGAAGAGGAAACATAATTGTGCATGAGGGGAAAGGCTGAGCCACTGAGAAAGGACCTGCCAAAGAGCCCAGAAAGGTGGCCCAGCAATATCATGACGGTAGCTGGTTGCCTAAACCAGGCCAGCGCTAAGGCCTCACACGCATGAACTTCCGCAGGTCCACAGTCACCGTGAGGTCGGCCCTGCAGTACTCCGTTTACAGGTGGGCAAACTGAGGCGCAAAGTGACTGTGGTGCCTGCTCCAGTGTCTTCACCACCCCAGCCTGACCGAGATGCTAGCCTGGTTGCTTAGAGGATGACATTCTGTCACGTCCCACAAACAACACCCTCTTGGCCTCCCTCAAGTCAAATGTGGCGTACCTGTGTAAGTGACTAGTCCTGACAGCTCACCTAACAAGGCCAGGGCTCCTGCCTGCCTCCCTGAGACTCAGAGTCCTCCTTTCCTCAGTGGTGACCAGTGGTCAGCTGTGTCCTGCACAAGGGGGCCCTACCATGGGGAAAGTGAGTGGGACTGAAATCTAGCCTGGTTTGTCACCCCAGCCACCTGCTCCCAGGAGAGGGTGCCACTCCTAGCTCATGCGAAGGCTTTCCCTGGAGGAACGCCGGCCACTTCTCTCTGACTCTACATGAGCATTTCTCGGGGAACTTACAAATGGTGCAGAGATCCCGGAAACAGATCGCCCCGGGAGATCTTGGAATCTGCATTTTGTGCACACCAGGTGACTCTCACCTTGGACACTGGCCCCTCTGCACAGGGCCAGCCAGAGGGAATTACCCACCAAGGCTCATGGAGTGAAGGGATGAACAGGTCTGAGGGAGCTTCACAACCCTCCCTGGGACCAGGTTGGGCTCCACCCGAACAGGCCTCAGTCCTAACTAAAAAGCAGGATCGTGCCTGCTTGTCGGTCATGAGGCTCTATGGTCCACGACTCCAACTGGAATTCCAGTTCTACCGTTTAGTACCATCGGAGGGACCTAAGGCCCGTGGCCAATCTGCCCCAAGCCTGTTTGCTCCTCTGCAAAATGGGTACCGTGATCACTACTGCCTTGAAGGCACCGCTGAGAAGCCAATCTGCTGGCCACACAAATGGTTAAGTGTGACTTTTCATCTTTGTTACTGTCATTTTTTTTAAAGATTTAATTTAATTTATTATTATCGTTGTTGTTAGTTTAATTTCACCAGAGAGAGACAGAGAGGAAGAGAGGGAAAGTGAGAAAGTGAACCACCAGGTCTGGGACTCAAACCACAGTTGGCCATGTGTGAGTCCAGTGCCTTCACTGCCACGACCACCTGCTAGCCTCTGTAATTTTTGTTATTGGTGGTGGTGGTGTTCCACAAAGAGTTTATCTTGGAAAAGCAGTAACAGCTAGGAAGATAAATTCTTGGGGATCTAAATGGCCGCATCTAGGCATTGAACTGTGGCCCCGGAGCACCCAGGTGAACAGACGGACCTGGCCACAGGCGGGTCTCCGCTGGAAGTTTGGGTCGGAGCCTGCCCTCCGCCAGCCCTGACCCGACCTTCACCTGTTTCCTGTGACCACCAAGGGAGAGCTGGGAGAAGAGCTGCTTTCTCACCAGGGGGTGGTGGGATCGCTGGCTGAGAGGGCCAGACACACAGCTGGCTCGGGATGGCCTCCTCACCTTGCTGGACTTGTGGTCCACGTTGAAGGTGGCGATGACCCCGTCTGTCAGCTCCCGGCCCTCTCGAAGCACCACGTACTCTGACAGCCGGTTGGCCAGGTAGGTCTTCCCGGTGCCGCTGGGGCCGGAGAGGATGATCCGCCGGTGCTCCGTGAGCAGGGAGACGTAGCGCTGCAAGATGGGCTTGGGGATCAAGGACTCGAACACCAGCGAGTCCAGGCTGTTTTCTGCGAGCCCTGTGTTGGAGAGACAGAGTGTCGGGAGGCTACAGAAAGGCTAGGTCCCTGCACCTGCCTCAATGGGGCTGCCAAGGCCGGGGTAATCGCTTTCCATGGCAGCCCACTCACCTGAGACCTCGCCCACCTGGGCACACTGCTGCCGCTCCAGAAAGTCACCTCTCATCACCAGCACCGGGTGGCTGTGCTCCTAGGGGTGACTTCCCCAGGTTCAGACTCCCCTTTATATTGGGCCCTCAGTCCTCATGTGTCCTCTGCAGAGTTCCCGGGGCTCAGGGCTCTGCTGGCCTGTCTGGGTGTGCCCCACTGTGGTGTCTGCCCGTGTGTGCCACAGCCCAGCAGCTGCCTCCTCATCCTGTTTTCTCCTGAAGGCAGGTGCTCTGCCCCCCACACTTGGATGGACCACAGAGGCCACAGAATTTTTATTGGGTTGTTGGCAAAGCTTGAGTATTTAAAGTCAGGACTTTTAAGACGATTCGTATCTCGAGACAGATTTTTTTGTTAAGTGAGAAATCATCCCCCAGATGATGGTCATGCTGCAACCCCTCCTCCCCCATTCTCTTCTCAGGATCTTGAGCACGCAAGCACATGCGCCCAGCCTGAGTTTTAAGCTGCTGGGTTGGGGACTCCAACTGGGAGTCCAGCGATGTAACCATTACGCCACCTGCTGGTCCATATGACTCAGAATCTTTCAGATGAGGAAAGCGAGGTGGGGCTGGGATTTCGGATGGAAATAGTGGCAGACTGTGTGGAAGTGCTGCACACTGAGACCTTGGTCCTCAAAGAGTCAAGTGAAAGTTACCTTTCCTCTTCCCTCCCTGGGACAACTTCATTAAAACGGAGCAGTGGCTTGAAAGACCTGTCTCCTTGATACCGTGCCTGAGGCTGGCTGCCCAGAGCCTAAGGTAGTTCTGTTATAAAACACCCCTCAAGCAAACCTGCGTATGGCAGGAAATAAACTGAAGGGCATCTATTGTGTTTTATAATTGTGCTTCCTTCCAGAGAATTGCTCACTGCTTCTTTTTTTTTTTAAATTTTTGCTATAGGGCACTAGAGAGTTGGCGAGGAGTGAGAAAACATTCCCCAGGGAGATGGTCATGCTGCAATCCCTTCTTCTCCATTCTCCTTGAGCACACATGCACATGAGCCCAAGCCGCTAGTTCTGGGACTTGAACCGTCTAGTCAGCCACATGGGATCCAGCTGCCTTAACCACTGTGCCATTAGCTGGCCTTATCCATTTATTTCTAACCCTCACTCAACCAAGAGTGACCCCGTAATGCAGCGACTACTCCAGAATGATCATGTCGAAGGTCTCCAAATACCTTCTCTCCTGGGACAGGGCTAAGATTTCCCTGGCACTGAGCTTAAGACGGCCTCCACGGGTCACAGCCTGACACGGTGTGAACTTGGGAGCTCTCGTCTCAACAGTGACAGCAGCAACGGTAATAAACACAGGGAAGACCTCGCTCTACATGAAACTTCCTATTTCAGCTCTTTTGTCATCGGACCCTCAGGGGTGTCTACTTTGCAGACAAACTTGCTTCAGAACTCACCGAGGCCACCCATGCCATTGGCATCACTGTGGCTGACGGATCTCTTTGGTACCTTTCTCCTTGCAGCGCCATGAAGGTGCAGCTTTCAGCAGGGGAGTGGAAGAGTCGGGTATTGCCGACAAAGTCCGGGCGGACCCCTCGAGGTGCCCGTACCTGAGAAGCTGACGACAGCAATGGACCAGGCTCTCTGGAAGGGTGGCATGTCCCACCACGGCAGAAAAGTCTTGTCATCTACTACAGAGGTTTGGTCTGGTCTCGGCACCAGGCCAGTCCTTGCCCTCTGCTTGTGAGTGGATGAAATTCGGTGTGGCCAGGACGCGGAAGGCTCTCCCTCAGGGCGCTCTGGCAGAGGACTGCCATTGTTTGAGTGTGTTTAGTGCCAATTCCTAGCCCCCCTGCAATATGACTCTTTCTTACGCCGTGTGCATTCCAGGGACTTCAAAAGAGCCAATCTGGCCTTTTCATCCCACAAAAGGGATAGGCTTGTAACAGGCTTGGCCAAAGCCTCTCCCTGACCACAATGACGATGTCAGTGATGGGCATTTGACTCACTGTGGGCCAGAGTCACCTCTAGGAATTTCCTGTCAGGTCTTTTCCAGAAAGACCTTCTCTTTCTTTCAGATCCCTAAGCTTGAAGAGTGAATTGGGACTCCCAGTGAATTGGGACACAAGCAAAGGGGGCCTGCAGCTCTGGTGTAGCATAGACTCTTGTGCCCTGCAGTGCTGGGAGCCCTCTGGTGACTGCAGTTCAAATCCTGGTCGGCTTCAAGGATCCTGAGAAGCTGGAGCATTGGGGAAAGGGTATCATGGCGTGACAAGATCCTGTTAGGGGGTCCTCTCCCCACCTCATGTGCATGTGCTTCCTATCATAAAAAGGAAGGGGAAAAAACAAGCCGAGGAGCCATAGCCAAGCTGAAGTGGGCCTGTCTGGGTGACGCTATCTAAGCACCTGCATCTAGTGTGTAAAAATGCACTCCTGGACTTCCAGGTACACAAGCCTGTGCATTTCCCTTTCTGCTGCAGCTACTTTTGGGCTGGTTTCTGTCACCTGTAGCCCCAGAAATATAACTTTTCTCTAGCCAGCTGCATAAGGCTGTGTGAGGCCGAGCAGGTCATGCACTACCTGTCAACAGCAGAAGGCCCT